TGAGGGTTGCGATCCCGTTGCCGGTCAGTAAAAAAAAAAGACAAAAAGGAAAAAAAAAAAGTAAAATCTTCTGCTCATCAAAAATCATCATTTAAAAAAATGAATAGATAAGTTGCTAACTGGGACGAAACATTCACAAAACATATACCTGGGAAAAGAATGTATCCAGAATATTACATATATGTTTACAACTCCTAAAAAAAATAACAAAAAGACAAACAACTCAATCTTTTTAAATGAGTGAAATATCTGAACATTCACTTCACAAAGGAAGATATATAAATAGGCAATAATCAAATAGAAAAGTACTCAGTAGCACTATTCATCTAAAATTTACATCAGAATGTAAATTGAAAGCATAATAAGATACCACTACCTATGCTCCGGAATTGACAAGGATTTGGAGCAACCAAAACTCTCATACTTTACTGCTGGGAGTGTAAGATGAAAAAAACACTTCAGAAATTGATCTGACAATTTCTCATAAAGGTAAGTATACACCCACCCTATGACCCAGCAATTCCACTTCTAGGCATTTACTCAAGAGAAATGAACACATATATACATAAACACACTTCTAAAAAAAGTTCAGAACAGTTTTATTTATGATAGCTAAAAATTGGCAACAACCCAAGTGACCATCGAATGGAGAAAAGATTAAAGAAATGGTATATTCATACAGTGGAATACAACTCAAAATAATGGAATGTACCACTAATACGTGCAACAACATGCATGAATGTCAACAACATGGTCAAAGAGTGAACAAAGTCAAACACTCAAGCGTACCCACTGTATGAGCCTATGCAAAATCAATCTACAGTGAAAGAAATTGTAATAGTGGTTGCCTCAGGGAGTAGGGAATGACCTGAAAGGAGCATGAGCAGTGTTTCTAGAATGATGGAAATGTTCTATGTATTGATAGGAATGTGGATTATGTGAGTGTATGCAAGTATTGAAACTCGTTAAACTGTACATAACACCTGTGCATTTCAATATATGTAATTATATCTCAATTAAAAATAAGTATCATAAGACATGAAGAAGCAAGAAATTGTGACCCATAGTTAGAAGAAATAACCAATAGAAGCAGACCCACGGATGCTGGATCATCAGGTAAAGACTTTAAAATAATTATGTTAAAGAAAACAAAGAAAAAGGTGTATTTGATGGATGAAAGGATAGAAAATTTCAGCAGAGAAATGGAAACTATAAAAGAACCAAAATGAAATTGTAGAATGAAAAGGTGCATTATTTTAAATGAAGAATTTATTGAATAAACCTAACAGCAAACTGGACACAGCAGAAGAAAGGATTAAAGACTGGTTGATAGAAAACATCCAAACTGAAACATAGGAAGGAAAAAGGAATGAAAAAAAAAAGGAAACAGTAGAGACCTGTGGGATAATATCAAACAGCCCTAATTGGAGTACTGGAAGAAGAGAAGGAAGAGGAAAAGGATCAGGCAGAAGAAATATTTAAAGAGACAAAGGTGGAAGATTTTCCAAAATTGATAAAAGACATAAACAGAATCACCAATCTCGGTGCATACCAGCATATACTAGACTACATCTCTCAACCTTCCATGACTGTCCCAGCCGATGAATGTGGCCAGAAGTGAGGTGCGCCTCCTCCAGACCTGCCCCTGTGTAGTCTAAGTTAAGATGTGCTGTAACAACAAACTCAAAATCTCAGAGGCTTTCTTTCTCACTTCTACTGTTTGTTACAGGTCCACGCAACTCTCCAGGAAATCTGTCTCCCATACATCGGCTTAGCATTCCAGGATGCTTCAGCCTTACGGGAACTCCAGTTGACAAATCCCTACAATGGGGAAGGAAAAATATGAACGGTGCATTGATTCTTAAGTGCTTCCACCCGAAAATGACATGTGTCACTCCTGCTTGGTTAAGGCAAATCACATGGACACCGAACTTCAAAGAGGCCAGGAAATAAAATCCTTCCATATGACTGGAAGGAATGAAAGTGAAAAGTTTGGGTACATGGCAGTCACATCTACCCCATCCCTTAAAACACAACCTGTGTGAACTGTGATATTCAGAGGCCCCAGGTGGAGCAGAGCTGTTCCGTGCACTAGTGTGTGGTGTGAGCAAGACATAGACATTTATTTTGTGAAGCCTCTGAAATGGGGGTGTTATTACAGAAGCTAATATACTTCAAGTAATACCATACTCAACTTACATCATAAAGGTAAACAAGATAATAACAATAGTTTTTTGGGGTTTTTTTCCTTTTTTTTTTTGTCTTTTTTTGTGTCCGGCAATGGATCGCAACCCTCAGTGTCGCGCCCGTACCGGACCGGGACCGGCAACGGGATCGCAACCCTCGGTGTTGCTCCCACACCTCGCTCAGCCAGTGAGCGGGAACCAGTCTGTATGTGGGATCCGAACCCTTGGCGGGAGTGCCACCACGCTCCCAAGTGGCGCACTGTAGCAGTGCACCACCGGGCCGGCCCTAACAATAGTTTTTTATTAAGCACTTACTCTATGTGTGAAATGCTTTGCAGTGTCTGGCCCATGGCAAGCTCTTATTAAAGTTGTTGTTGCTATTCCAATTTTGTCTTACATGTGTATGTATGCACTGAAAAGCATTTGTGCTCTAGACTATGGGAGCCTAATGAATACCGTAAGGTGGTCGAGCACCTTGCTTGTCTTTTTCTCAAAAACATCTGCAAGTTTCATACTTTGTGGGCACCTGAATTGGAAGTTCAAGTTTTCAGGATCAGAGACAGCATGATGTAGAGAAAAGAGCATTTGAACTAGGAGCCAAAATCAGTTTCATTCAACACACATTTATTGAGCACCTTCTGTATGTACCAGGTGCGAGGGATATGCAGGAATGTGAGACTGGACCCCTGCTCTCTAGGAGCTCACACTTCTGCGTGAATGACAGACAAGAAAACAAATAGACAAAGCATGATACATGCAATAACAAGAGCATGAACCAGGAGCAGGAGAGCCACAAGACCTGAGTTTTAGCTCTGCCACTAGCTGTGTGACCTTGGACATGTTACTGAACTGCTCTGGGCCTCAGGGATAGTGAGAATGGTGTAGGTCATTTCTAACCCCTGAAATACTAACATCTACAATTCTTAAAACCCTGTGAGGTCAGCAGGGCAGGCGTTATTCCTACTCTATAGATAGATGTAAAGCCTGAAGAGAGGTTTCGCACGGCAGCCCGAGCTACACAACCGCTTGTCAGTAAAACCGGACCCAGCTTCGGGCAGGCCTTGGGAGCGAAGCGTAGTGCGTGTTCACTCCGGGCCGCTTGGCAGAGAAGAGGAATCTCTGATGGGCAGAGTGGTGGGTTTTCTTGATGCCTCCAATTTGAATCCCACACTTAGAGTGTGGAGCTGGTTACAGACCCAAAAAGAGGAAAGCAGCAGTTAGTTCCTGCACCCGTCCTGGTGTAAGCCCTCAGCAGACACTGGGCATTTCTGGGCACCAAGTCATCTTTCACAGAACAGCACGGCGATATAATCTGAACAGGGCTGTCCCGATGATCACAGGACCCTTCAGGAGCCATCCCGAGTCACAGATGACAACACACCCTGGGCCTGGTTTCCTCTTCCAGCTGTCTCCTCACACTGGGCTTTGTGTGTAACGCAAAGGACATTTTGGAGGCTGAGGCAGCTCTCCCTCGTCACCCCTGTACTTCTGGGCCACCCTCCTCGGCCCGCCCAGTATGTGCATGCTCGGGGAACAGGAGCGAGTGAGCTCGTGTCACATAAGCCAAACAGAGTTCATTTTGCTGTCACTCTGAAATCATGCTATGCCCACCAAAGCCAAAAGGACAAGCCTTCTGGCAATGGCCGGCCACCACTACCTCCCACCATGGCAGATAGTTCAGAGATGACACTCGTGGGCAATCTTATCGTCCTATACAATAATTTTTGAGCATCTACTGTGTGCACTACTAACAACACATAATCCCCAAAATGTAGGGACACATAATCAGAAGATGAGAGCAGTCAGGTGGCGTGAAGAGATGAGTCACAAGATGACAAGGCCACACAGACCCGGGCCATGTGAGAAGCTCAGTCTTAAGTACTAGAGGTGTCGGGGAAAGGGAGTGGTCACTGAGGGCCATTGCTGTCCGAGGAGGCGTCTGCAGGAGGCTGGAGCTGGGCCTTAAAGGAAGAGAAGGACAGAAGTCACTCTTCACATCACCCACTCTTTACGGGCAATTCATACGAAAATCATAGGAAGAAGAGAAAAGTGTCCAGAAAAACAGTCACCTGTGGGCACGCAGATGCCAGGAAGGCCCCTTCTCGGTCACAGGCACACACAGACACCTTCCCACCCTCCCTCCTCAGAGCTGGCCAGTGGGGCAGGGGACACGCCTGCCACCCCTTCCCAAGGGCCCTAGGGGGAGGAGTCTGGGTTCAAATTCCGCCTCCACCACCTCCCAGCTGTGCACTGCGGAGCGAGTCCCCGAGCCTGTGTCCTCAGCTGTAAGAGTGGTGGCTCACACTGGCCTGGCGGGCTTGTGAGGAGGGTCAGCCAAGAAAAGTCTAGTTCATCCCCTAGGACAGCACCAAAAACTACCACCCAGGTAAAGCCTCGTTAAAAAGTCCTCCCTGGGCATCTTCCATCATCACAAGGACGTCTGAGGTTGGCCTCGTAGGTGTGCTCTGGCCTCTGCAGGTGCCCTGCCTGCGACAGCTCTGCAGGGGACCCACGGGGTTCTAATCCGCCCGGGCGCACCAGCCCCAGCTGCAAGCCAAGCGCACTCTAAACTCCAGGGCAGTCGTCTCACAAAGGAAAACCTCTGCAGAAGGGGGGAGGCGTGAGCCTGGGGAGGGGTGCCCCTGTGGGCCCCCCTTGCCAAAGGAGACACAAGCTCCGGGAGTCAGAAACAAGTGATGTGTCCGCTTCAGTGCTGCTGCTTCTGGCCACAAGAGCACAGCACAGGACACCAAGGCCGAGCACAAGGTGGCAGGGGCTGGCCTGCCGGAGTTTAACCTCTGGAGTGACTTCCAACGTTTCTGAAGCGGGCGTGCTAGTGTTTTGTTTGTATCTTATGTTTCCTTCCTTGGTAGGAAGCGGATAGGAAAACTCTTAAAACACTGGTGGCCCTGGGTCAGAGTACCCACTCTGCCAAGCTGATCAGAATTGGTGTGTGGTCCCGGGACAAACCCCAGGGTAGGAGAGCTTATCTGCCAGTGGGCCTTAAAAGCTTCAGGCAGCAGGCCTTGGGCAATTTAATAAGAAATAAGACCCAAATGGCACAGGTTCCCTGTCCTCTCACACTGCTTCCTGGCCCCACAGGGCAGGAGGCCTGAGACTCCAGCCTGGGCTCTCCCACTCCTCTCGGCCTGGGGGCCCTGCCAAGGCAGTTTCTCACGTGTGGCAGCATCACCTACCTCGGGGCATTTCTGAAAGACAAAGAGGGTGACACATGTAAAGCAAAGCACTGAGGCTTTGGGGGGCTTCACTGTCTATGAGGGGGGGACACTGGTGAGAACAAGAGAGACCCTCCTGCCCGGACACAGCAGCAGGAGCAGCAGCTGACCCCTCCTCAGCCCCCAGACCCTCGAGTCGCTTCCCCACAGGAGCCGGGAAGGCGGTGGGCTTCGCGCCAGCCCCCCAGGCCCACCCGCCCGCTGCATTCCCTTAACTGCTTGCTTGTACACCCAGGCCCCCACTGGCCTCCCAAGACAAAATACAAAACCGCGAACGACCCCCACTTATGAAATGCCAGGTAAGCATGCTGAGAAGTTAGCACGGCCGACCTGGCAGCTGTGTCTGAGAACTGTGGAGCCGGTGAAAGGCCTGAGCAGAGCACAGCAGGGCCCCCGGGCTCTCCTCTGAGCTGTTCTCTGGAAATGGTGGGGCGCAGGGGCACTCGGAGCCTCCACGGGCCTGGGGGCACTGCCAGCCCCCCGCTTCCTCCCCAGGCAGACCCAGGTAGGAAGAGGCCGCAGACCCTCACAGCTCTTGTCCTGCCCAGTGCGAACACCGCCTGATGCTCCCACTTGCTTCACCCCGTCCTCCATGGCAGAATAAACCCCCCCTCGACGGTGCTCTTGTGCTTTTTCGGCTCCCTGGGGGAGAAGGCCACGGCTCCCGTGCCTGGCGTGGCGGCAGGCGTGTGCTGGGGGTGAATAAACGCTTGTCAGATTGAGTTGACCGGTAATGAAGGAGGCAGAATGGCGCACACCCCTCAGACGTCTAAGAGTAACTTAAGGGCCTAGAAAACTAAGCAACGCCCTGAGGCTGTACGACGCCCTCATCCTGATTCCTACACGCCTTTGTAGTGACCCCACACACTTGCACCCAGAGACGTGCCCCTCTTGGCCCCTCCCCCTGACCTACGACCCTGGAACAAATGGCAGGAGACTTCTCTAGAAGCCAGTCATCTCTTTATTCCATTAGCGACCAACACAACAGCACCACGCACACAGCAGGGGCCCTGCCTGAGAACCCCGGGCAAGGCAAAGAGGGCGTCGCAGGCCCTCGGGCGCTGGGCAGGGCTGGTCAAGGCGAGGGGAAGCCTTCCCTGCCCACCACCCCCAGCAACCAGGGGGAGACCACTGCTGAGGGGTGGGCCTGCTGTGCAAGCAGTAACGCGTCTGTGTCAGCCCCTTCCTTCCCAAAAGCACCAGGGCCGCAGTGGGGAAGGAACGCTCCAGGCAGGGCCAGGGAGGGACTGTGGGGTGGCTAAGGTGGACTCTGAGCTCGAGAGGGGACTGCGTATGTGCGTGCGTCTGCATGTATGTGTACGGGGGACAGAGGCCTATGCTTCTTAGCATGTGGGATTTAACTCCTGAGCCACAGGACCTGCCTGAGGACAAAGGAGACCAGGATCCAGGCACTCAGAACTCTGGGGCCTGGGAGAGGGGCCCAGGCTTTGCCTTGGAGAGGGCTGGAGGCTCCACTGGAGGCAGGTCGCGGAGGGCATGCCTCCCCCATGCCTGGATGGAGGGCTGCCGCTGGCAGGACCCACCTCACGTGTAGGCCATCTTGCTGCACACCCAGGGCCGGGTCATCAGACACTCCGTGGACACCAGCCTGGTGGGCTCCACGAAGACACACTCCCCCGGGCCTGAGACGGTAAATCTGTACCAGAAGAGAAGAGACCAGGCGCTCATGACCTGGCACATGTGGCCCAGCGCCGGGCAGAGGCCCTGTGGCCTGCCCCTACCTGGCTTCATCTCTGAAGCAGACTTCTAGGACATGCGGCCCCAACAGACCTTTCTAGCTTGGCCTCCCCTTGTCTTCCTACTCTGTGCACTGTGGCTCCAGCCATCCCCAGATGCCCCATGGACACTTCCTGGACACACCCTGCACTGCCCCATCCTGTTTCCCATCCTTCCAGGGTCGGCTCACACATCCCAGACTCCATGGTACCCGGTTCAGGACCCTCCACCCGCCCTCCCTCCCCACAGCACCCGGCCTGCTTCATGGGGCACCACTTGCCACAGCCTCCCAGGGGCTTGTGTCTGTCTGTCCCCACTGGTCCCCGAGACAGCCAGCTCCTGAACAGTGGGCTCGGTGCCTCTGTCATCTTGGTTCCCTACAGTGCGCAGTGTCTACACACAGTAGGAGCTCAGTGGAGATGGGCTGAATTAAATCATTTTCACAGGTTGGGGACGGACCAGCATAACCCCAATAGTGAACAACCACGGCTGCGCTGTCAGGACTTGGTTGAAATCTTGCATGGACCTGTGTGTATGCGTTGGGTGGAGGGGGTACAGGGGTTCCCCCTGCCTAAAATCTCCCCTTTTGTGTCTCAGAGGCTTCTTCACCCTGATCTGATTCCTGCCAAGGCTGGAGCTGAGCTCTCACAAGAGAGGGCCATGAAGGACCCCGAGAGGGAGCACAGGAGGCAGGACCTCTTCGGTGTCAGAGAAATGTGGCCAGAGGCCCCTTGATTGCCAAGTAGTCAGCACTCCTGGGACCCCAGCCTCCAGGGCTTTAAGAGCAGGAAACTTCCGGAAGGGTGGGGAGAGGGGCAGAAAGTACAAGACTTCCTCAGCAGCTCAAAGAACAGACCTGGGATGGGGGCTGGCAAGGGAAGGCGAGAAGGGAGGGACACCAAGGACAAAGTAAGGGGCAAAAATGAAGTGTGCGTGGGACTAAGGACAAGCCGCAGATGGGAAGGGCTGTCAACGTGCCCCTTGCCTCAGATGGGAAGGCGGCTCCTGGCCAGCTCTGGCCACCAGGAGGATCTGGGGCTGTCGGGTGCCCTTCTGCTTTAGCTCCTGCCTTGGGGACACTCACATGTCATCATCGTCAGGTAAGCAGCTGTGGCCCCTCTCAGCAGGCACCTCCAGCAGCAGGGTCTGGACTAGAAGCTGAAGTTCTTGCTCCCCGTATGCACCTCCCTGCATTTCCCTAGGCCTAGACTGCCCCCCAACACACGGTCACCACCCCACTGCCACAGCCACACACCCGCCACCCTGACCACTGCCACCATCGTCCCCACCGCACACCAGACCTGGCGTCCTACGCTCACGTCCACCACTGCTGCACACAACCCCACCACCTCAGCAGGGCCCCCTCCGCGAGGAGATGCTTTCTCTAAGAAAATGCTCATGGGTGCCTGTATTCAGGTCAGCGGCGATGCTCAGGTGGCATGTGTCTGCCCGGAACTGGGGCTCCATCTCCCACACTCCCTTGCGGCCAGGTGCAGTCACGTGACTCAGTTCTGGCCAATGCAGTGGAGACATCCCGGGCACGCCCTCCCCTTCCTCTTTCCCCTTCTCTGGCTGAATGGGATGTGGAGGAGCCACCCTGAGCCATGCTGCATAGCTGGGGGAGTCCCCAACAGAAAGAGCCGGGGCCTGACACCACGAAGCTCCGATGGCCTCGTGGAGCAGAGTCACCCAACCAGGCTGGACTTTCTGGGGGAGAGAGAAGTAAAGGCATTTTCATGACTGGGTCTCACACACCCCTGGACCTAGAGACGAGCATCTCTAACTAGCACAAAACCAGGTGTTTCTGTCTGAGAGAGCTGTGTCCGGGGAATGAAGCCTTCCCCAGTCTAAGCTCAGTGGCCAGAAGATAAAGCCTCAGCTCACGTGTCTGGATCAAATGGGTCCCCATTGACCCAGTGGAATTCGTCCCCGACTCTGCGCAGTCCAATCCAGGGCTCCCTTCGTGTGAACTTGAACATAAATTCCTGCACGGAGGAAAGAGGGAAACCTCAGAGTCAGATGCAATCTCCTAACTGCTTGTACTCCCCAAGACGAAGTTCAGCTTGAGAGATTCTCACTGCGTCCCGGAAGTGAGGAGCCAGGGTTACAGAGTCCCCTGCAGAGCTGCTCAAAGACCCACCAGCAGTTGCCTCTGACAGCCTGAAAGCGACCTGGCTCTGGTGAGCATGCCCACTGGCCCAGAAAGCCTGCACAGGGCTTGTCCTGCTAGCTCAGCAGTCCCAGCATGCCAGCATTCCTGATTTGCAGGAAGCTTGGGGATTGCCCGCTCAGTGGATTATCTGGGACAAATCTCAATGCTCGTGGCTTGTCCTACCTGCATACTTCTGGGACTTTCTCTGCAGAAGGGGGATATCATACTGTGTATCCAAGACAGTGATTTGTAAGTTATCTGCTATTTAGGATTGCAACACCACTGTTAACCTCAAAAGCCAAAATAGCCAAGAGAATCACTAACTGTGTTTCGTTCACATTTCTTTTGATATAACTGTTTGGGGTGTTAAATGAGAGAGCATGTCCTGATTTTGACAATGTTTTCGCATTTCACAAGTGCATTGATAATTTGTAACTCTTACACTTTATAATACTGAGTTTAGCTCAGCCAACCAGCCTTGGACTGAAATAAGGGGCCACGACAATGGAAGTAGAAACAAGAGCCACTCACTGACCTGCTCAGACCTCAGGGGTCCATCTGTACACCCCATGCCTGTGCAGCAGCTTGGGTGGCTCTGGAGACATGTCACAGGGGACACCGCATCCCTGGGGTACGGCTCTCCCCTTAGTGTTGAGGGTGAGGTGCTGAGGGATCCTCCCCAACCCCAAGCGCACTCACCAGCTCCTTCTGGCTCTGAATCACAGCCAGCGCGGCCTCATGGCTGTGGCAGTACTGCCTGCCCGTGTTCCAGTCTCTCTGTTCCTCAGAAAAGAAGTAGCACTTCCTTCCGTACAGCAGCCAGTCCTCCGGACAGGGGGCTTCACACTTGATACAGCCCTTGGATGCTGCAGCGGGGAGAGAGGCTTCAGCATTCCCCGGTGCCCTGGCTACCACCTTGCCTCCCCCACCCCTCTCCCCCAGAATCCCACCACTCCGCTTCCTGCAGAGTTCTTCTTCCACCTGCCTCGCCTTTGTGCCTTTCAGCGACACTGCTGGTGTGGCTGTCTTCTCGAGTAAGTGCCTCTCACAGTGCCTGGTGGTAAAAGGTTGGCAACTGAATGAATAAGAAAGGGGAACTTGGGAGGCTGGCAGCAGCATCGCCATGAGGGGGCGTTAACAGCAGGTAGCCCCTGGTTTAAGATCTTCCCTCTCTCTGCACTTCCCGAGGCGGGGAGCCCCAGAATCAGATTGAGAAGAGATCTGGAGGCATGAATAAGAAAGGGGAACTTGGGAGGCTGGCAGCAGCATCGCCATGAGGGGGCGTTAACAGAAGGTAGGCCCAGGTTTAAGATCTTCCCTCTCTCTGCACTTCCCGAGGCGGGGAGCCCCAGAATCAGATTGAGAAGAGATCTGGAGGCCGTGCGTCCTCTCTCTCCAGCCAGGTAGAAACCGTCTGCAGGATGGACAGGCAGCTCTCGTGAACCACGCCCTCCCTCGTTAGCTAAGTAGGCAGCCGCTGAATTGCTGGAAAGTTGTTTTTAAATGTCAAGTCCCAGCCTGCCCTCCTGTGACCTAGACTTACTGGTCTAGGTTCTGCTCTCCAGAGTGAGCCAAAGCAAACCCATTCCATCTTCTACCTCCTACCTGAAGGACACCAGCCTCCCCTCATCTGGACTTAAACAGACTCCATCTCTTCCAGGATTCCATGCAGAAAATGCTCTCCATCCTGCCTGCTCACTGCAGTGTCCCCACATTACCACCAGGACAGACCGGAACACATCAGAGGCGGCTCTACTAGCAGCAGCAGTGACCACTATACCACCTTCCAGTTGTCGTGGACTCTCCAGTCTGCTTCAATGAACAGAATCTGTGGATATGTGCACCTTTCTGGGAAGGAAGCTCAGAGCTGCCGTCGGATTCTCAAAGGGCCTCCTTGCCCAAAGGAATTGAGCCAAACTTCTAGATTGTTTTCGTATGACCTGTTTCCAAGCCAGGTCTCCCTGGTGACCAGAGCATGTGTAAATGACATTTAAATCCAAATGCAGAAACTTGTAGTATTTCTTCTGCATTTATCTCATTTACTTTGGCTCAACATTTGAGTCTTTAAAGGTAATTTTTTTTTTCCTTTTTGTCTTTTTTCGTGACCGGTAACGGGATCGCAACCCTCGGTGTCGCGCCCGCACCGCGCTCAGCCAGTGAGCGGGAACTGGTCTCCACATGGGATCCGAACCCTCGGCGGGAGCGCCGCCATGCTCCCAAGCGGCGCACTCTCTGGTGCGCCACCGGGCCGGCCCTAAAGGTAAATTTTAATCTTGATTTTTTTCCCCATCTGTCATATGAAATTGTGTCTGTATTATGTCAGCTGCACATTCCATAAGGATACTTTTGCTCATTTTCATGCAAGTGATTGATTAAAATGTAGACCAGAATACTCAAGCCCTGGGGATCTACAGCCACATGGACACTGATCAATCAATCAACACTCCCTAAGCATATCTGTTCAAAAAGACACAAGTCCACTTGGGAGTAGTGACCACAGCGTGGCCACATTTCAGCTGCTTTTCCACAAGGACCTCCTAAGAGGCTCTGTTGTCCTTTATTGAAATCACAATCTGCTAAGTCTGCACATTGCCCTGGCCTCCCAACCTAACGATAGGATAAAAGGGAACTGATTTAATTTGTAGTAATTATTCTATGTGAGTCTAAACTGGGCCCCATGGTCACCATAGCCATTTCTAAACATTCACAAACCTCCTGTTTATCCTACAATCCCTATGGTGGAGGATTTGGTAGGAATTAACATTGTCAGTGGACTTTTTCTCCATTTCAAGGAGTCCACCTCTGGTCTTATGGTGCTTCTCAAAGCTTAGAGACAGAGGAACTGAAATCACTTTTGCAAACCCTTCAGAATCTACAAATGCTTTGACTTGAATCTCTTGCAAGTAGCCAGATTCCCTGTTCATATAGACTCACCTGTCCTTTTTTATTTGTTCGACCCTTTCAGTCCCACACACCACTCCATGTTTCTGAGTCCTCTTCCCCTTAGAGTGTTCTGTCCCTTTGATGGAGTCCAGAATATACCACCCCAATATATGCCACTTTGGCATAAGGATCATTTTGAGCTGAAGGCAGTTAAGAATCAACAGATGTGGGAAGAATTCTCTGCCCTCCCTTGTCTGCCTAAAAGCAGGGCATGAATTTCTTTTTGAGGAAGGTGCTGTCCCACCCCCCATCGCCATCTCCAGACTCCCCTTATCCTCACACCCCACCTCATACCAGAGAGGGAACAGTGACTTACCATTGAAGACACCAAGGAATCAACACCAAGAATAGTTTGCATAAACAGACCTTACTTAAAGAGACTTTATCTTCCCTTCCCCCATATATTTCATAGTTACTTCCCTACAATTTTTTTTTTTTTAAAGATGACCGGTAAGGGGATCTTAACCTTTGGCTTAGTGTTGTCAGCACCACGCTCTCCCGAGTGAGCCACGGGCCAGCCCATACTTCCCTACAATTTATCATCCCTTGAAGGCCAGACACTCTTCCCTTTGTTAAAAAGGTACATAGTCCCTGAGTCTGAATGCATCTTTGAGTTTCACTTCTTTTCTGTGAAGTCCCATGCACATAAATATTAATAAAAATTGTGTGCATTTTCTCCTGTCAACCTACAACTATCTTTGGCAGTTTAATTTGCAGTCCCCTGGTACTGAACATAAGAGGGTGGAGGAAAAGCTTTTCTTCCCCCATACCCTCTACCTCCTGATCTCTGGGAAATTCCTGTTCATTCTGCAGGGTTCAGCATGCGTGTTTCCCACTCTGCAAGGCCAGCGGGCACAATACCTCTATTACAGCACTTACCCCTGGACAGAGAAGTCATGCTCATTTTTTTTTTAATCCCTAGCACTTAGTGCAGGGCCTAACACACCGAGCTCAATAAATGTTGAGTGAATGTGATTTCTAAAGGCCCTTATCCCCAAACCATCTTCTCCAAGAAGTGTTGTCTGCCTAACCTACCCCAAGTTTGTTCTTAGTTCTCACAGCATTTACATAATAATACTTAAGTAACGGTCTCTACCTGCATGGCCTGATGAAGGGGACATGTATAGTCAATGTGCAAATATTATTTTAGGCTAAAATCTCATCAACAGCCGACACTATACTTTCTATTTACTTTGTCCCCCACAGAATTCCTGGTACGTCTAGAATCTTTCTTTATCAAATTACATGTGCTTTTGATAAGGTGTGTTCCAACGCACTTGCATAAATGCTCTGACATGCATGCTCACCCAAGATGCTCATCACCACCAGGATGGCGAACAGAAGGACCGCGATGGCCCCCAGCAGGAGACGCGTGGTGGTGTCTGAGGAGAAGAGAAAGGGGTTCAATACCCGCCCTCCCACCCGCCCAGCCACCAGTCCCTGCCACCAGCCCCAGCCCTAGCAGTGAGAAACCGGAGGGGTGGAGCCCAGCAGCTGGGTTGTCACAAGCCCTCCAGGTAATCCTGATGTACCTGAGAGTCTGAGGACTGCTGTTCTGGTTCTGCCATTTCCCTGCTTGAAACCCTCCCTGCAGGGCATCCACTGTCCACAAACTCCTGTGACTGTCAGAGCTGTCCCTTGACTCTCCTGCTGCTTCTCTACCAGGTTTCAGCCAGGGGGGCTCCTCGAAATGCCCTATTCAGCTATTCAGCCCTCGTAGACCTGCGGCTGGCTATTTGCTCCTGAAGTCCTCCCCCTGCCCCGCCACCTCTGGAAATCCTGCCCACTTCTACACCATCGTCCTCTTCACGAAACCTTTCCTCGTCCTTAGGCTTCTCCTTTTTAAATTTTTATTTGTTTTTTGTTATCAGTTAACATTTTTATTTTATATTTAATGAAGAAACCCTTTTAGACTTTAGACACAGGGGTTTTTTTTTAATGTATTTTTTATTGTGATAAAATATATATAACTTAAAATTTGCCATTTTAACCATTTTTAAGTTGTTCAATTAGTGGCATTAAGTTCATTCACAATGTTGTACAAACATCACCACTGTCTGTTTGCAAAACTCATCTTCCCAAACAGAAGCTCTGTACCCATTGAACAACAACTCCCCCCACCCCGCAGCCCCTGGCAACCAACCTTCTACTTTCCGTCTGTATGAATTTGCCTATTTTAGATATTTTATATAGGTGGAATCATACAATATTTGTCCTTTGGTATCTGGCTTATTTCACTTAGCATATGTTTCCAAGGTTCATCCACATTGTAGCATAGACCAGAACTTCTTTCCTTTCTGTGGCTTAGTAATATTCCATTGTACGTGTGCACCATATTTTGTTTATCCATTCATCTGCTGATGGACACTTGGGTGTCTCCACTTTGGGGCTATTGTGATTAATGCAGCTATGAACATGGTGTACAAATATCTGTGAGTCCCTTCTTTTAATTCTCTGGGGTATGTGCCTAGAAGTGGAACTGCTGGATGATATGATCGTTCTGTTTAACTTTTTGAGAAACCTCCGAGCTGTTCTGCACAGCGGCTGCACCATTGTAGGCTCCCACCAGCAATGTACAAGAGTCAGTCAGTTAGAGCACAGCCTTTATAACTCCAGGGTCATGGTTTCAGATGTCCATACCAACCAGCTGTGGGAAGAAAAAAATTTTTTGTTTGGGCTTTTTAACCATCTTAACCATTAAGTGTACTGTTAAGTACAGCTACATTGTTATGCATCCCTTTCTTGATTTTAAGTGTTTTTTTAAAAATCAAAGTTATGTATAAACACAGATGAAAACACAGCGCCTCCATAGACCAGTGCTGTGAACTGTTACTTAACCATGATGATATAAGAGGAAGAATTAGCAATTCAGCATTACACGGACCTCCAAGTGCATGATCGTGTTTCTAGTAATTCATTTGTTTGTATTTTACAAAGGATTTGGGGGGGGGGGGAATACTGTTTCCTTCATCGAGGATAGCCTGGAAAGCACAGATTTAAAGAATGAAGAAATTCTAAAAGGCATCATTTAAAAAATAGTAATAATGACATTACCCTTCCCCCAGAGCCAATCACTTTCAATGCTTTTAGCTGACTTTTTCTGTATTACCTCCAAATCTCGAACTACCGTGTATATGTCAACACGCCTAGACTTTTCCATTTGAAATATTGTTTATTAATTTCCCACCATAATGATGAAGACTTAATTCTCTCTGCATTACATCCCACCCTGACCACTTACTGCCTGCCCTCTCAATATCACAGTTTGTGTAAGATGGGTAAATTTGGTGATATTTCATATGACACGGTAGAAGGTACTTCCAGCAAAGCCATGTGGTGTGTTATGGTCACTTCATTTCTGCAGAACGCCTTGTTTCCCTGTTAATCATGGTCTTCTTTTACCTTTGTTTAGCCTTCTGAGTGTTTGTCATTACTTCAACCCCAAAGCTTCTCTTAGGTGAGACTGACTCAGGAATTCTATTCTGCCTTTGTCTTAGCTCTGGCTGCTATAACAAAATATCATAGACTGGGTGGCTTAAACAACAGACATGTATTTCTCACAGTCCTAGAGGCTGGAAGTGTGAGAGATCAGGTGCCAGTATGACTGGGTTCTGGTGAGGGCTCTCCTGCTGGCTTGCATACAGCCACCTTCCCACTGTGTCCTCACATGGCAGAGAGGAAGTCTGCTGTCCCTTCCTTTTTTTATAAGGACCCTAATCCCATCATGGGGGCCCCACCCTCATGACCTCATCTAAACCTAATTACCTCCCAAAGACCTCCACCTCCTTAACACCATTGCATTGGAGGTTAGGACTTCAACATATGAATTTTGGGAGGACACAAAATTGCAGCACCTAACAGCCTTCTCAAAGAAGTGCCTCCTGGAACCGCTGATCTGCTCCAATCTGCCTGGCTCCCTTCTGAGTCCAGCTGCCAGCGGGGTCTCCCTGCACCAGCAGCCTGAGGATTTCTTTGCTCCTCTCCTGGGTTGGCTCTCCCATGCCTTCTCTCCCATGTCTTCCTCTTCCTCGGTCTACTTCATCTCAGTGCAGCACATCCTCCAGTGGCTGCCCGAGAAAGGGTGTGACAGACCCACTGCACTGCTCCACTCCTCCGGCCCCCTCCTCACTGCGTTCTTGGATGGATGTGCCCCTGCAGCTGTGAACTCAAAAGCCTGCGTGTTACGGATTGGAAATAATTTGCCTTCAGAATTTTGAAGGCATCACTTAACGGTCTTCTGGCTCTGGTGTTGATTTTGAAACGTCTAGGTCCGTTCTCACCTGTGATCTTTCTAATTTCAAATGTTTAATTTTTTCTCTCTGGAACTTTTTGGGATCTTTTCTTTATCACACGGTGCTTTAAAATTTCATCATGCATGCCATGCCTTGGTTTGGGTCTGTTTTCACCTACTCTAGTAGGCAATCAACGGACCCTTTCAATCTGAAATGTCATGTCCTTCAGTTCCAGGAAACTTTCTTTAACGATATCATTGATGATGTTTTTTCCTCCATTTTCTGTTTCTTTCTGGAGGTCATGTTCTTCAGATGTTGGATCTCTTGGGTTAGTCCCCCAAATTTCTCATCTTTTTCCCCCTCTTATTTACTATCTCTGCCTTTTTTCTCTGTTTCCTAGAAGATTTTCTCAGCTTTATCTTTCTACCCTTCTACTGAGTTTTTCATTTACATGATTATATTTTTAATTTCCAAAGTTTTTTGTTTTTGTTGCTGCTATTCTATGAATTCCCCCTCTTAAAGCATCCTATTCTTATTTTAATGATGCAATATTTCCTCTTATATCTTCTTTCTGAAGATGTTACTAATACTTTTGGGGGTGCAGAGAAGAGGTGGGCATGAAGTTTATTCCTCCCAGTATAGCCTCTGCTTCTTCCATGTTGCTTTTTCCCTGCTCATTTGTTTGGGTCTCTAGCTTCCATGTTAGAGACTTTCCTCAGATGTCTGGGGATCTTTGGTTATTTGTTCATGATAAGGTGGGAAGACTAAAGAGTTCGTCAGAGCCTCTAGGTCTGTGGGGGGGGCTTATTAACTGTGGGGGAAGGAAGAGTGTCCCCCACACTGGGCTGATCCTTGGGGCTCTGTGTGCTAATCTTAGATCTTTCCTCTGCGATGGATCAGAGTGCCTGGAGAAGGCTCTTCTGTTTTCCCTCCTGGAGAGTATAAGCTTGGCCGGGGGAGTCTGTCCTCACATTCAGTAAGGAAATGTTGACTTCATTGCCTTGGGTTCTTGCCAGCGCTGGGGAGAGGCTGTATAGAACCGAGACCTAAATCCTTCTTAAAGACATTTTCAATCAGTTTTCCTGTTTTTCAGTCCCATCTTCACCCACTGCCACCAATCCCTGAGCCTTGGGGACATCCCGTGTGCCTCAGATGGCTCCCCTGCTTCCTGAGCTTTCTCGGGTGGCTGAAGTCAGTCACTGCTGCCGTTTGCTCCCTGGCTCCCAATCTTGTTGCTGTCGTCTTCTCTCCTGTTCTTGTTCTTATGGCCTTTTAAAGACCCCTTTACTGTTGTATTGATGGGTTTCTGAAGGGAAAGAGAATAAATGTATGTGCTCAGTGACATCTTTTTTTTTTTTTTTTCCTTTTTTGTCTTTTTTCATGACCGGCAACGGGATCGCAACCCTCGGTGTTGCGCCCGCACCTCACTCAGCCAGTGAGCGGGAACCGGTCTGTATGTGGGATCCGAACCCTCAGTGGGAGCGCCGCCGTGCTTCCCAAGCGGTGCACTGTAGCAGTGCGCCACCGGGCCGGCCCCCTCAGTGACATCTTGATCTGCAAGTCCAACACACATTCTGGAGTCTTTCCTATGAGCAAAGTCAATGAGGACAAATGACCAGGAGTCCTGGGTGTGTAGCTCCAGGCATGGTGAAGTGGAGGCTCGAGCCTGCCCTAGAGGCCCTGGAGGACTGGTCTGTTTCTGTGTCTGCTTTGTTGTCCTCTCTGGCAGCTTTGTCACAGGCTGATCGCCTGGAGCTGCCTGACAGCTGCCTGTGGCAAGTGAGCTGCACCATCCTCCTCGCCCTGCTTTACGTGCCTGCTCGTCCTCTTCTCTGTAAGCCTGTGTGCACTGAGGATAAGAGCGTGGCATCTGAAACCACTTCACCTAGGTTCCAGTCCCAGCTCTGCCACTTTCTAGATGTGTATGCACAGCAAAGTTACGTAGCCTCTATTTTGTTCTACTTTCCTCATCTTTAAAATGAGGTCATGATGGGATCTGCTTCTTAGAATTTTATGGGAGTTCAATGCCCAGCACTCAGGACAGTGCCTGGCATTGGTAGCACCATTTACTGTGGGCAACTACCATCGTGACAATGACAGTGATCAGCCCTGGCTTCTGTGGGGTAAGGACTGTGCTTTACTCACCTTTGGATTCCCTAAAATACGTCATGGTCATTGCCTGGCATGTTACAGAACACCCACTGGGACTCAAAACATGTGAGGGGAATTAAGCTACACTGAATGACAACATCCTTGGTCAGCTTTAAATTCAACTGAGTTTGGGGGCCGGCCCGGTGGCGCACTGGATGGTACGCCGCTTGGGAAGCGCGGCGGCG